AACTCTAGGGCATTCTCAGGTGGGTAGTTACCTCTACAGGAGCCTTATAGAAGGTCTATATACCTTATAGAAGCCTTATAGAAGCCCTATATACCCTAAACTCCCCACCTGTAGTTTCCTTTAACCCCTAAACTCTAAACCCTAAACTCTAAACCCTAAACCCTAAACCCCAAACCCTAAACTCCCCACCTGTAGTTTCCTTTAACTCGACGACCAAAAGCTCTTCACCAATTCTACCGGCCCCGAAGCGCCAACTGCGTGAGACCGCGGAATATCTGCCCACCATAACATCAGCACCCAGCACCTAAACCCCTAAAGGCTAAACCCCTAAACCCTAAACCCTGAGCCCCTAAACCCTAAACCCATAAATCCTAAACCCCTAAACCCAAACCCCTAAACCCTAAACCCCTAAACCCTAAACCCTTAAACCCCTAAACCCCTAAACCCTGAAGCCAAAACCCCAAAACCCAGCATGTGAAAGCCCCAAAAGACCCGAAGCTCCGAAGAGCCTCGAGCGTTACCCCCATGAACCTGAGGCCTAAACCCCTTGAACCCATAAAGTTTAGGGTTTAGGGTTTAGGGGAAAAAAAGTTTGGGGTTAAGGGTTTAAGGTTTAGGGTTTGACCGTGCAGCCTAAACCCTCAAGGGTTCAAGGCCCCCAGCAGTCCCGTCAGGGCCGCCCCGACGATTGAAAAGACCGGGGTCACGAGACCCAGAAGCATCAAAGGGTTGGACTTCGCCCATTCCTGGGCTTCGAAGGAGACTTGGGACGTCAATTCTCTTGCTCGGAGGGAAATTACTCTTTGGGGCTTTAGGGTTTAGCATTTAGGGGTTTAGGGTTTGGAGGTTGGGAGTTTGGTATATTTAAGGTTTGGGGCTTATGGTGTTTAGCAGCTCCTCCTGCCGCTACTGCTAAGGCATACCTAAGCCCTAGACCCAAACCCTAAACCCTAAATCCCAAAGCCCCTAATCCCTAAACCCCTAGACCCTAAACCCTAAACCCTAATCCTATCCAGAAGGGGCACACGATTCTACTTGGGGACAGAGCCGAAACCCTGAACCGGCAAAAGCCCTAAGCGCCTGAACAACCCTAATGTACGGGCCTACTAGGGTTGCGGGGGCGTTTCCTTATTATAGTTATAGTAGAATACAACCCCAAACCTTATTCTGATTATTAAGGCCCCTATATTAACCCTGAACCCTATCTAATTTTCCCGGCCTGTCAATGCAACGAAAGCCGCATCGAAGCCGACCTCATAGCGCTTGCGATTAGGGTTTAGGGATTAGGGTTGTCAACATAAGTCCTTACCTGGGGTGCTGTACCTCACTGCACATGCTCTTCGTTTCAGTGTCACGGAGGAACGTGGCTTTCTTGTCGCTAGCTAGCTTCAACAGGGAGTCAGTTTGAACATACTGCTGATGATACAAACCCTGCATTACCTAAGGGACCTTAAACTATGGGAATTATGGTATATTCCTTCTGATGGGATATGCATGATTTCATATAAACCCCTAAACCCTAAACCCGATTTTATATCATCAACCGTATGTCTCTACAGGTGCTTTATCTCTTCTTCGTCCGGGCTGAAGGGAGGGGTCAGGGCCCCCTGGCCACCAGGGTCCGTGGTACTTTCTGGGGCTTTGGAAGGATGTGAAACCTTGTTTAGGGTTTAGGGTTTAGAGGTTCTGGTTTAGGATTTGTTGATGATCCCTCTCTCTCTCCCTCTCTCGTCCTGTCCGCGTACTTCTCATCGCAAGGTAAGGGTGGTAGCAAGTGGAGCTACCTTGAGGTTTAGGATTTAGCAGTCGGTAGCCCTAAAACACCCTATAACATAAACCCTAAACCCCAAGCCACCTTTCTCCTGGGTTGGGCTCTTGCTTCGCCAGCCCCTTCGCCGCAAGGAATCGGGCACAGCTGTAGATAAAGCGGTCCACAATGGCTGGTCCGGCTGTCTGTGTTTAGGACTCACAAGTTTATGGTTTAGGGTTTAGGGGGGTTGAGGGTTTAGGTGCGACTTGTAGATTGTTCTTTTGTTGTAAGCTAGAACCAGGATTGGACGAACACGGGACCTTGTAAGTAGGTCGTGCTGTACTTGCCATAGGAATCCTAGGCACCCTAACTAAGAACATGACCCTACTTACAACCCTAAACCCTAAAGCCTAAGCCCCTAAAAACCCTAGTTACAACCCTACTTAATAGTCCACCCTCTTTGTCCCCAGGTGAAGTAAACCCACATCCCGACGCCAAAAACCATAAACAAAGCAATAGATTAGGTAAGCCATGCTTACCGCGGCCGAAGCCCCAAAAAACAAAAAAATAAAAGCATAAGCAATATAATATGTATCATACACTCTAGGCCCTAAGCCCTATACTCGAAACCCCTGCACCATGGACCCTACTAGTTCAGTACGATCATGGAATAGAAGACATTGAAAAAATACGAGTAAAATGCCCTCAACCCTAAACCCTAAACCCTCACAACATACCCTAAACCCTAAACCCTAAACCCTCACAACATACCCTAAAGCCTAAACCCTAAACCCTTACAACTACTCCCTGGCTGGGGTGTCAGCGGAGATCGCGCCCTTCACGTCGTGGTGCAGCGAGTCGCCGACATGGCAAATCCGGAACTCCTGCGCTTCTTCGGGCCGCCGGGTCTTGGGGGTTAAGGGCTTTAGGGCTTTGCCGTAGGGTTCAGCCTAAGGGTTTAGTCTTGGGGTTTAGGGTTTAGGGTTTAGGGTTTAGGGTTTAGGGTTTAGGGTTTAGGGTGGGGCCTTAGGTTTGGAGTTAGAGCTTCGGGTTTAGGGTTTAGGGTGTTGAAGCTGAGTTTAGGGCTTCAGGGATTAGGATGCGGGAGTTTCGGGTTTCGGGGGGAGGCTGCACGGGGCAACCTGGAACTTGAACACCCGTGAGCTTGGTGGCAACACCGCAGCCGCGCCGTTCAAGGGAGTTCTGAGTCGTGCATATTCGATGATTCGCGCATCTGATCCAAGAACGTCTGTGTTGCGCAGAGGCAGTGCCACCCGGGCTGGTGGCACCGCCGCTCCTGCCCCAAACCCTAAATCCGAAACGCTAAACCCTAAGCCCACAGTGTTGATGTTCCTGTAAATCAGCAAGGCTTGGTTGCCACACTGACATGACACCAACAGAAGGCCCTGCAAGAATTAGCACCCCGAAACGCTCAGAAACACAGGGGTCGGTAGGGAAGGAGGGGACGGGGAGAGGGAAGAGGGGCCAACACCCTGTCCACGGCCTCATACTTCCTGAACAACATGGCGGCATAATCCACATTCTGCGAGTTTCAAGATAGCCTGACTTCTGCTATTGCGGGCCTTACGAGGCCAAAAACCCTGGTTATAGAACCCTTGTAGAAAACCTCCCCGAAGAGGCAGCCAAAACCAGAAACACTTCAATAAACTCTAAATCCTTGACAAAAAACCCTCATAGAAACCCTCCCTTCATGACTTATAACCTTCCGAAAAAATAAACTACACATAGAACCCAAAATGGCCCAGGCCTGAACCCTAAACCCTAGACCCTAAACCCTGAACCCAAAACCCTAAACCCTAAACCCTAGACCCCAAACCCCTAGACCCTAAACCCCAAAAGCAAAATCCTAGACCCTAAAGCCCTAGACCCTAAACCCCAAAACCCTAAACCCTGAACCCTAAACCCTTTTTGATCCCTTATAGAACCCTTAAAGATCCCTCTTTAAAGGAACAGCTTCTAAGAGCCAATCGCCTCGTCCAACTCCAGCTCAAGGGCTTTGGCCTCGTCGCCGCCGGCGACGGCGTGGCAGAGCTGGCGCCGGGCCTGCATCTTCACTGGGGCACTTAATGGCCGTTATTCACGGTTTAGGGTTCTTTTTTTTGAGTGGGTGAAGCGGCTGCGAAGTACTCTCGCAAGGAGAGATACTGGCTGTAGGGGCTCAGCATTGTCAATGCGGAGACTTGAGACTGAAGGGTGACCATCGCGTGCATCGCACTGGTCGGCAAGCTACTCCCAGTCCAGTATACAATTGGCCGCAAGTTTCGAGCAACCGGTCCTTGACGTATGGTTACGAGATCGTGATTGTCTGTCACCTCCCTCACCATCCATTCATCAGAGACCAACTGCTCGTCAGAATTCTGCCAAACAGCACGGTCGCTGTAGTCCTGCAGCCCGCCCATCCATGAGTTGAATGATTCGATCGCTCTCGTGCCCTCACTGATGACTTCCATCCTCGCAGGGATGAAACAGTGTCGTTGTGTGCGTGCAGACGCTTGAGGGTTTAGGGTTATTCAGGGTTTAGGGTTTAGGGTTTTGGGGCTCTTGATGGCTTGGATCTGGGTGCTAGTAGAGGGATTTGACCCAAGTTACCAGAAACAGAAACCATGATATTTGCCATAGACCCCGATTATGGTAACTTAAACTCCTTAACAAGAACCCAGTTATTCAGGGACCCACTAAGGGGGTTTAGGGGGCTTAGGGGGCTAAGGGGTTTAGGGTTTAGGGCTTAGGGTCTGGGGTTACGGGTATGGGGGAGACACTCCAAAACCCCTCAAGTAAGGAATATACCTTAAATTATTTGAGGTTTAAAATATATTTCTTCATTAACGGGTTTAGGGTGCTTGGCGTTTAGGGATTAGGCGGCTGAGGAGTTCAGGGTTTAGGGGTTCAGGGTTTCGGGGAACATATGGCAATCATAATCAGTACATATTGGTACTTGAGGAGCTTGTTTTGAGAGGGTTCCTTCACGAGGGTTCGTTTTTGATCTCTTAAGGGTCCCTTCAAGGGTTCCTTTAACAGTGTTCCTTTAACAGGGTTCCTTTGAGGGTTCGGCGAAGGACTGTTGAACAGGGTTCCTTTCAGGGCGTTACTGTAAGAGTTCCAGGCGTTCCTGCACGTGTTCCTGTAAGGGTTCTGGGTTTAAGGCTTCTTTAAAAGTGGCTGTCAGGTTTTAGGGTTTAAGTTCTCTTTGAGTTTCCTTTGCGGGCTCTCTTAAGGGTCCCTGTAACGGTTCCCTGGTTCCTTCCAGGGTTCGTTTCTGCTTATGCGGCTTAAGGTTCAGGGTTCAGGGTTTAGGGTTTAGGGTTCAGGGTTCAGGGTTAAGGGTTCAGGGTTCAGGGTTCAGGGTTCAGGGTTCAGGGTTTAGGGTTTAGGATTCAGAGTTTAGGCTGTAGGGTGTAGGGTTCAGAGTTTATGGCTTACGGCTGGACGTCCAGACCTATGGCCGAAACCCAAAACCCAAAACCCAAAACGCCGAACTCCGATAGCCCTGAACGGCTCAAGGTTGAAAGTTTAAGACAACCCACACCTCGCAAATCCAAAAGCCCAAACTGTCAAATCTTAAGCCCTGCAAATCAGAAACCCTGAAACCCTAAAGACCAAAACCTCAAACCACTCTTTCATATCTCAGCGAGACCCTAAGTCCAAAATTCCAAAACCCACCCGAACCCGAAACCCTGAAACCCAAAAGCCACATACCGCCACGCAAAAACCTCAGCAACCCTAAACCCCAACCCAAGCAACCCTTACAGCAACCCTGATTTATGGCAGCCCTTGAAGCACGGCACCAGAGCCTCCTCAAAGGCAGAAGTGTAGGGCTTGCCAAAGTAGATCACCTTCGGTTCTGTAGAGACAAAACCGCAGAGAGTTCGAACGTGGTACTCTCTATACTTTACCTTAAGAGTATGAAGGTAATGATGCTCCAGCTGTGTTTCTTCTTCTATAGCGTTAGTGTTTAGGATGGGGGGGGGTTAATCCCAATCCAGGTGCCTCCAAAAATTGAACAGGGGTTTGGGATTCATTATAAGACCCTAAGCCTAAACTCTGAACCCTAAATCCTAAACCCTAAACCCGAAACCGTAAACGCTAAACCCTAAACTCTAAACCCTGAACCCTAAACCGCAAACCCTAAACCCTAAACTAGTACAGCTAAAAGATGGAATCCCAGGGGATGATGTTGGAAACGATTCAGGAGCAAAGCCACTCAGGCACAACCATGAAGTTACCCTCAAACCCGCTAGGGTTCTGGGTTTTAGGGCTTAGGGTTCAAGGTTTTGGGTTTGAGGGTTTAGGGCTTAGGGTTTGGGGCTTGAAGGTTTTGGATTTAGGATTTAGGGGTTGAGGGTTTAGGGCTTAGGGTTTGGGGTTTAGGGATATAACCCCTAGATCCCAACGTCCAGGATCCTCCAGTAAACACGCAAGCAACAACAATCAGGAGCATTTGTCCTATACAACCCCTTCATCGCTTCTTGGTTTAACATATGCCGTCACTACAACCCTATACCCTTAACCCTTAACCCTAAACCTGTGCATTCCTGAGCAGCCCTGTAGCCCCCTACTCCAAGCAGCAAGGCGTCTACACGCGCACGTATGGGTGGAATGGCTACGGTAGGTTGAATCCAGAGATACAGGGACTCTAACGGGATAGCCCGAAACCCTAGATAACTTGTTATTACTTCTTCTGGCCTCTATACTACGGTTGATGATATAAATCCTGCATTACCTATAATGAGGAATATACCATAATCCCCATAGTTTAGGGTCCTTGAGGTAATGCAGGATTTATATCATCCACAGTATGATTCTGATTTCTTAACTCAAGGACCTTGCCCCGGCCCGGCCTGTCCACCGAGGCGTTCGTAATACCTCGGCGAGAACTACCACCTCCTCATGCTAAACCCCAAGCGTCCAAGGTTTAAGGCTTTCAGGACCCTAAGTTTAGGGATTAGGGTTTAGGATTTAAGGGTTTAGGGTTTAGGATTTAAGGGTTTAGGGTTTAGAGTTTAGGGTTTAGGGTTTAGGGTGGAACCATTCCCAGAAGCCCTTTCAAGGTTTAGGGCTCGGGAATCCTTCGCACCCTTTAAAGGCCTTCACCATTGAGGTCTAACTACACTACTAGTAGAAGACTCCAAGAAATACGATCCCAGAGGGCCCAATACCCCTTAGTTAAGGAATA